CGTTCGGATAGGAACAAACACATATCGATGCGTGTGTTTTTTTAAAAAATATTGCGGAGTAATTGAAGATCCTGTTGGGAACGGACCAATTTGAGGCTTCTGCGATTAATTCTCATTAGAAGAAAACCTCAGAATCAGTTACGACTGTGCTTACTGTGTTCATCTCGTGACCTACAAAGGTCAGTTAATACTTTTGAACTCTTTCATCTTATTTTTTAGCATCATATTAGATATTAGCAACTTATAATATAGTTTAATATTAGATATAAAATTAGTACGTATAATTATGAGTAATTACTAATGAATTAATTCACTCGGTTACTAACCATATTTAATTGAAATTAACAAATAATAACTTAAACTAATTGAATTAGATAATGTTACAAAAATTTAATCATTTTTCCATATTTTGCTCTCTAAAAAATTAATATTTAATTACATAAATGATTTTCATAAATGATAAATGATATGTGCTCAATTTAATGGCGTCTTAAAATAACAATATTATTATTTAGTGGTCAGTTAAAGTCTAATGTTTCAAGCACTAGGATTATTATTGTTATTATTATTTTAAATATAATTCCATATTGTGTAATGTTTTTTGGGAAGGTTTATTTTTAGTATTAAAATAAGCTTTGGCTGACCCTATTTTATAATTAATAAAAATAATGGTGGGTTAAAAATTAGAATATTTTTTTGTTCCTAATTTAGGGACACAACTTGAATTAACCTCATCACCTTTGTCTGTCTTTGTAAAATTAATAAATTAGTCTTAAAATAGATTTCGAGTTTTTATGGCAAAGGCAAATTAACCCTTTAATCCCTATGTTTAAAATGGATAACCATTTTGTCCATATTATACATAAAAAAAAAAACTATTAATATTACGCACAATCTTTATACGTGATTATAGTCTTTGGAGTTTAAGAACACATTTAATGTATAATCAATTTATCGATCTACATGTGTAAGAGATCTCATTTTATTTCAACCATAATTTTCATAATAAGGACTTAATTGTTATAAATTTTAAGATATAAATACTTAAAGTGTTATAAAACTGGTTATAAAGACTTAATTGTTATAAATTTAAAAATATAAATACTTAAGTGTTATAAAATTGGCTACAAGGACTTAGTTGTTATAAACTTTAAAATATAAATACTAAATTGTTATAAAATTGGTTACAAACTAAGTTAGTGGACTAATGGATTGTTACATACGTCCTAGTGTCTCATGTCCACCAGCTTCTGCCTTAGTTTATCTCCGAACCATATTTTAGTGAGATAGGTATCACTTTAATAAAATTTGTTACGATTCGGATCAGGATTTAGAATTCAGATACGACATACATTTCCTTTTTGAGAGTGAAGACTATTTACATAGATAAAGTTTTTTAGTCTATTTTGTCCTCACTTACATACATCTTAGAAAAATTTCCAAAAGGTTACCCAACATAGAATTGCTTCAAGTAAAGCTGATATAACCAAGATACATCAATCATACAACATACTTCAATGAAGATGTGAAGAAAATATTGTTGAAATTATCAAAAGACATTTCAATTCATGCCACATTGAAGAATGACGAAACTTCATTGTTATAAATTTCCACATTGAAGAATGATGAAACTTCATTGTTATAAATTTGGGGCAGATTACAATTTAGAGTAATTCAGAGTTATTGTATTTCATTAATGTATTTTATGACTTTTTATTTACTTCAAAGTTACATTTGCAGAGTAGCTAATTGTAGTCATAAAGTATGAATGTTACAACTCTTGAGGCTATATGAAGCCATATGTTAACTTTGTAAGATAGACTTGTAAAAATGTAGTAAAAGGAGCATTTGTTCTCTCCCTTGACTAAGTTTCTTTGCAATTCTATGTAGTTTAGGTTGCATGTAGAATCATTCAAGCTTGACATGATCAATCTTGCTTGTGGAGTGATTCGGATCTAGATCAAGTGTTCTTGCCTTGATATTCGATTAATAAGGCAATATGAATCTTACTTCCCTTGTAGTGATTCCTTATCATTTAATATCAGAGTTTTCTCTTGGGTCGATTTCCTTATCATTTGGCATTTGAGCTTTCCCTTGAGCTGATTCCTTATCAGAAGAACACTCAACCTTGAAGTTCTACATAGTGTCACGCAAAAGAAAGGTGCACCTTCTTGCTATAAGTAGTAATTTAAATTCTTTTAAGCATTTCTGAGTCATCATATCTTCAGGATGGCTCACATTCGAATATGGCCTTGGTTCATTCATGTATCTCTTATTTACCCGTTACAAATATACTAAAATGTATAGATTCCAAAAATTTCAAATTAAATTTCAAAAGTAAGATGATATAAATGGGTTAGAATTGAATGGTTGGTTGGCTTTTAGAGAGAAGGGATTTGAACATGCATGGAACTGGCAGAAAATTAAAAAAAAAAAAAAACACACACACACACACGAGAATATTACATATAAGTTTCCATATTTATTGCATGGTTGTGTATGAACATCAAACTAAACCATTTAAAAGCTGCCCCCACATGAACAGTTTAACAACTTATTTTTTGAAAACCCTTTGGAAAATGAAGCAAACAAGAGGGCTTCAATATGATGTTTCATATTGTTAGGGCAGCAATTCCCTCCCCCAAGTTGTTGGCCTTGATGGCGAAATATTCTTTCACGTTCACTCCTTTATAAATGGGAGTATGTGGGGTTTCACTCAATGGCTTACAATAAGGTGATACGTTTAAATAACTTGGTGGATAATAGAAAAATGCCATCGACATCGTAGTCTCCTCAGTCTCTTGTATCATCACCCGGTGAGGAATGCTATGAAACCGCCCGTTCGATATAATTTGGAGTAAATCGCCGATGTTAATAATGAGAGTGTCGCTCCTCCGAGCCAGCGGAATCCAGCCTTCTTTCTCGTTGAAGATCTGTAGCCCATATTTGCGTGCCTGGTGAAGCATTGTGAGGAGGGAGGTGTCAGTGTGGGTCGCGAGGCCAATGACTTTGCTTGGATCAGGGCATGGCGGATACGAGTTCAAGCGGAAAAGCATGTGGGGTTTTTCGGTGGTCGGGTCGATGTAAGACAACAATTTCACCATCTCTTCATCGAAGATGCCAAGAAACTTGAAGATTAACCTTATTAGTTTATCACCTAAAGCCTTCATTTTCAGTTGGTATTCTTCCATTTTATCACTTGATTAAAAAAAAGAAAAAGAAAAAGAAAGTAAGAATCCAATTTGGGCATATAAAAATGGTTGGGATTTAGAGTAATAAACAGTTAAACATAAACCTGGATTTACCAGAATCGTTGGTAGTCCGATGGCCAGAGTTTCTTAAAATCATCAACTGGAGAACCTATGATGGAGAATCCTTCATGCCACATAAGTTTCTCATAATACTTCGAAAATCTGGCTATGCAGTAGCCAGTGGAGGTTCCGGGAACCTGTAATGCCTTCATCTTCTGGCTTTTTGGAAGAGCGAAAAGACATTGAGCCACCTCCTCGGTTTCGGCTATTAGGGTTTTCGGGATACCATGATTAATCAACTGAAACATTCCCCACTCCTTGCAGGCTTTTCCTATGAGCTCCAACACATTATCGTCGTTAAGATCGACAACCGGGACCGAGACTATTTTGTCTGATTCGATCTTCTGCGATGATTCATCGGGGTGAGGCCATAAGTGAGATTCAGGAATAGTCTGAACCGAGTCGAAGTCTAGAGGAACCACAAGGCTTGCGGGAGGAAGCTTTTGGTCTGCCATACTTAGGTAGAGCTGCACACAAAAAGCCAATAAATTAAGATCAAGGTCTATTGAAATACTAAGCTTACGTCCGACTTCAATTTATAAACTTAAAAAGAAGTGTAAATCCAGCTCACCATTTATGGAAGGATTATTGCTTTTTTAAAGTAAGAAACAAACCGAGTAATTTAAATTGAATGTCTAGAGGAGATTAATATTATTGCAAATAAGAAAGAAATAGGATAAGAATGAATTATTATGGAAGGTAGTGTAGGTTTTTTTGATAATTGATATGTCTTGGATGTATTGAATCAGGTATCGTTCAAAACGTGAGATTTTCGACGAGCGCTGTGAATCATGCAAGGTATCTAACTCACATGCTCCCTCAATCACCAAACCCTTTTCCATGCTTAGTAGTGCAACACCCTTGAGTGAGGACAAAACTCCCACATGAAAACCCTTTTCGTGAACTTCGTCAGCGCATGGTCACTTTGCATCCCTAGCCATAAGTAGCATCGTCGTTGTCTACGGCCGACAAAAACATAGAACGGTCTACAGTCCTATGATATTATGTTAGGTATGTTATACGATTTCTTATTATTTCATGCTATATCATGTCATGTGAAGCTATGGTGTAGATTTATATTATACTAATGATAATGCATGATGAAAGCTATGACTAGTATTATGCATATACGACTTGTATGTGTATTATGACATGAATAAAAGGAAGAACAAATTGTTTATCATTAAATGTTGTGGTTAAAAGTCATGAGGGTCTCATGCATTTATGAGTGTCATGTCTATCAGGATACTTCCCTGTTATGTTATATTAAATTGGACGTGTAGCTTTGATATTTATGTTTGCCATGATATCATGAGGATCTGTTCATCACCTATTTTAGTTGATTTAGGTGGACAACAGCTTGGAGGAATGTATTGTGCGATATTATTTGTTGAAGTAAGAATCTTGCATATAATGTAACCTATAATACAACTCTAAGTGTAAGTGCGCTATTTCTCATTGAAGTTGTGATATTGTGGCTAAGTTGCATGATCGAACTTGTTTTTATTAGTTGTCTTGTTGTGGTATTATTTCTATTTTTTTAAAAGGGATTGTCCTAACAACATTTAGCCGAGACACAAGACCACCAAAACTATATATTTTTTTATTATGTGTTAGTCATATTTTCTAGAATACACCATAAACATTCTCTTTGTTCTACTGTTTTGTCTTCATATTAGAGGTGACAAACTTCATATCATAGGTGATGGTTTTAGGAGTTTGTTTACCGCCCTATGCTGCTTAAAATTCTCTCAAAGTTATGACATAGAGTAAGGTTAGTCCATTGGAACCTCCCATGTGATCATAGGGCGAGGAACCTCTTATTGGTTTATCTTCTTTGGGCACTCATCCTATGATCACACGAGCCAAAGCTGATATATTCAAGACTCGTCATCCAGCAAATCTTGGTGGGCTCATCTGGACTTCTTTCTGCTCTTCTTGCATCCACTGAGCCAAAAGGATTCAAATCTGCGGCTAAGAATCCTGCTTGGGTGGCTGCCGTAGATGAAGAAATTCGAGCGTTACAACAAAATGATACTTGGAATTTGGTTCCTCGCCCTGCCAACACCAACATCAACATCGTGGGCTCTAAATGGGTGTTTCGTATTAAATATTTGCCTGATGGATCCGTCGAGCGTTTCAAGGCTCGTCTTGTTGCCAAAGGTTATACTCAGGTTCCTGGTCTTGACTACACTGACACTTTCAGTCCGGTTGTCAAAGCTACCACTGTCTGTGTTGGGCTTTCTATTGCAGTCACAAATAAATGGCCTCTTCGACAACTTGATGTCAAGAATGCTTTTCTCAATGGAACTCTTATTGAACGTGTTCATATGGAACAACCTCCTTGGTATATTGATCCTCGATTTCCCACTCATGTTTGTCTATTAAAGAAAGCCCTCTATGGTTTAAAGCAAGCTCCTCGTGCTTGGTTTCAGCGTTTTATCTCATTTCTTCTCACACTTGGGTTTTCTTGCAGTCGCGCTGACACGTCCCTTTTTGTCTTTCATCAGCAATCTAACATTATCTATTTGCTTCTTTATGTTGATGACATTATTGTTACCGGCAACAACTCATCTCTTATTGACAGCTTTACTCGCAAGCTTCATTCGGAGTTTGCTACCAAAGATTTGGGTTCTCTCAATTACTTTCTTGGTCTTGAAGCTTCACCCACTCCTGATGGTCTCTTTATTAGTCAGTTAAAATATGCTCGAGATATTCTTACTCGTGCTCAGTTGCTCGATAGCAAACCAGTTCACACTTCCATGGTTGTTTCTCAACACCTAACTGCTGATGATTTTCCTTTCTCTGATCCTACTCTCTACAGATCTCTTGTTGGCGCCCTTCAGTACTTGACTATTACGCGTCCAGATATTGCCTATGCTGTCAATTCTGTCAGTCAATTCTTGCATGCCCCTACTGCAGATCACTTTCTTGCTGTCAAACGTATTCTTCGCTATGTCAAAGGAACACTCCACTTTGGTCTTACCTTTCGTCCATCCACTGTTCCTAGTACGCTAGTCGCTTATTCGGATGCTGACTAGGATGGTTGTCTCGATACTCGTCGTTCTACATCCGACTATTCTATTTATCTTGGTAACTGTGAATGTTTGCTGAATCCACCACACCTAAATGGTGTGAAAGTTATCTTATTTATAATCAAATAAATTACAAGGATATGGAAATAGTAATAAATGGAAATAACAATAAATGGAAAAATACCTATAGTAATAAGGCAAATGTTAGATATTTGCCTTATAATAAAATATCAAATCTAATATATATGGTAAACTATAATTTATTACTAAATATCCTTAACACCCCACCGCAAGCTAAGCGTCGGATTTAAACGAACGTGAAGCTTGAATCTGAAAAATTCAAAGAGGTTGAGAAACACTTTTCGTGAAGATGTTAACAACCTGGTTCAGAGGAGGCGTAGAGAAACACTTTCTTGACCATCGAAAACTGCAGAGAGATCGCCGCTCAGCGGCGATGCTGCCTTGGCTTCGGTGAGAATATGTCTAACCCATGAAGAGGGATTGTCGCTTAGCGATGATGCTGACTTGGCTCTGGTGAGAATATGTCTAACCCCAAGAAGTAGCAGGGGAAACCTAGAGCAAGGGACAAAGACAATGTTGAAGC